AGTATTTTTTTATTGAGAACCAAAAAATATTTTTAGATAAATATTACCTAAATGTTGAATCTAATTTATATTTTAAAATCTACTACTATATTTATAAAAAAAAAAAAAAAATACACTAATCTTCAATTTTAAGATTAAGTATAATTATCATGTTAATTATATGATGTACAGTGTAATCAATATTTTAATAACAGTATCCACTTAACAAAAATTTTAAAACTATATGGTATAATAATAGGCAATATCTACATTTCACAACTTATAAATTTTAGTCGTGCATAGATTTATGAATTATATTTGTTTTATGTAAAAATTCTTTATAAACCAAATAATTAGACCTACATAAAAATTGATGAATATAGTGTGATTCACTAAAATGTGATGGGCTACTAAATCATATTTAAGGATCCTTATTAAAGTGGCCCTCAATAGGATTACTACTGTTTCTTCATTTAAATATTATAACCTTAGACGCTTAGTGTTTGTTTATACAAGACTGCATTAGTGCATTACTATGCACTTTATAAAAACTTCTACTACAAGTTTTGTCGTGGAAAGGTGAATGTAGTTAATACATTTGAAAAGTGTAACTTGTTTTCAAATTTGTCAGAAAAATAAAATTTTAAATGAAAGAAAACCCATGCTCAATTTTCGACAAATATATTTTGTTTTATATTATGACTAAAAAAATTAATTAACATAAGGTGTAAGTACTAAAAAATTGTATTGAATTTTTAAATTAGCATTTCTGTGCAAATTGTAATTTTCAAAATATTTTGACTCAATGAACATTTTTTAGACATTTTCAATTTTCAATTTTGTCTAGTTTTTTTTTTTATGAATATCTATCAAAATGTTTGAAATTTAATACAAGGTTTATCATACGTTGCTATAGTATATGTTTTAAAATATTTGACAAACATTGCATAATTTATTCATAAGCATTTCAATTTCGAAAAATTCATCAAATTCACGATAATTATCAAATTATTTTGTAGTTAAAAATGTATAAAATGTTCAAAGTTCATAGTCAAGGATTTAAAATTTAAAACAAGGTTTCTTATTATAAGTACCTACCTATTTCAAAGTGTAGGTAACTAAAAATTCTAAAATTTTTATAAACATAATAGTCTTTTAATAAATATTTTAAACACATAACAGGACGAAATTAGATAATTAAGCGGAGTTTGTAATTTAAAATTATTGGTATACTATTATATAGTACAATAGAAAAGTACATTAATACACTTTAGACGGCGCCTTGTATAGGTAATTTATGGCCATTAGTGATAATTGAAATTCTAAGTACCTACCTATACAAAAGAATCATAATAAATAACTACCTATGCATAAATTCGTTTTGTCAATATGTAGACTTAAAATTAAAAAACATATCGAAATTGCATTAACAATATATTTGACAAACATTTAAAGTTATAATTTTGATAACATTTTTCAAAATCAAGAAAATTTGCCACCTTACTATTTTGAGTTAAAAATTCATAAAAATTCTATTTTTTAATGTAAAATTTGATAAACATACAAGATACCCCTTAATTAAAAACTCAAAAGTATTTTTTTGATTTCGATGAAAAAAGTGTTCCAATAAGTTGATTTTCTATGATTGTTGAAATTCATACATTTTGACGACACATAGTACCTATATTTATTATTTACCCGTAAATATTGCAATATTTTTTTATCAATTGGTTCTTGATATTTTGTTGTACTTCAAAAATAATTAACGATAGATATTTGAAGTTTTTACCAAAAAGTTTAAACCAAAATTTTTTTATACATGCAATAAATTTACAAATATTCTTGCTCTCTTTAAGCTATTTGTAGATATATATATTTTTTTTTTTTTATTGACGATAAAAGTTTATTTACAATCTATACATACAGTGTAAGTAAGTGTGGTGACTTAAAAAGAAAAAAAAATAACATTAGTTACAGAGAAGGAAGGCTCCCAACAGTGCCACCTGACAAGAAGTTAGGGTT